TAATTCATAACACAAGGATGAGTTCATACATTAGGATATTTTTCTTATTTTCGTAATTCATAACACAAGAATGAGTTCATACATTAGGATATTTTTCTTATTTTCATAATTCATAACACAAGGATGTTTCTGTCTTATTTAGAGAAAAAAAACAGGACGTAAGTTCGTTATAAGCAAATATGTAATCCAAGAGAAATATATTTTCACACCTTCACGGTTGCAATAATTCTATTTACCCCTCCATATCCCTCTCCCTAAACCTTGAACTCTGAATAAATTCAATATTTCTCGATCATTAAACCAACATTAAACCAAAATGCAAAGAAACGTCTCCTAAGGTTCACTAAACCTTTAATCTCGAATATCCGATTCAGAATATATAAAGGGACTGTATCCGATTCAGAATATTAAAAGGGACTGTATCCGTATCCGATTCAGAATATATAAAGGGACTAGCTGTATCCGATTCAGAATATTAAAAGGGACTGTACCCGATTCAGAATATTAAAAGGGACTGTACCCGATTCAGAATATTGAAAGGGACTGTACCCGATTCACAAGGAAACCCTTTAAACCTTTAACATGATCGGGATATTCCTGTTTTTCTGTCTAAGGTTTGATATATTTTAATCGTGGCTTCTCATAAAAGTGACTAGCAGATATGTATGGATACTTCTTTAGACGAAAAAGTTGGTACTTATTATTGAATATCAAGATAAGATTAGAACTTACCAACCATCCAGTAGTTTCCTTTCCTCTCCGTCCCGCCCTCACTTGGTATCTTGACAAAACATTCGTTCAAGGAGAGATTGTGTCGGATACTATAAAGGTATATCTAGATTTCATAATGAAATCAAATCGTTATACGAGAATAATAATAATAATAATAGTAATAACAATAATAATTTGTTAAAGGTATATCTAGATTTCATAATGAAATCAAATCGTTATACGAGAAAATATTTGTGTTCTTGACGATATCTGATAATCATATAAATTTTACTTAAAATAGATAATAAAATATTCGACCTACCTTTTCTCCATTAATCATGTTTGCTGCATTGAAATAATTTCTTTTAATTACTCTTAGTTCCAATTAAACAAAGCAATTAAATTTGAAATCAAGTAATTAAATAATTATTGTTATGCCTTTTAATCATTCTTGTAGAAGATGTAAAAAAGTTAAATGACTGACCCCCTCTCCCCTTTCTTCATTCGTCTGCTTTTATTAAAATTTCAAAGTGTTTTTTCGTCCCGCCCCCAAAAATTACCTTATAGTAGGGAAAATTAGATTTGATCCAATCGTAAATTTGACATAGTTTCAATTTCTTCTCCGAGCTCTCATTAATTGCCATTGCTGAAATATGTCTACATGAAATTATGATTTTTACTTTAGCCTGGAGTATACTCTACTCCTAGTACTATACAGGATATATCCTGGAGTATAAAATACTCCTAGCTCTATGCAGGATATATCCTGGAGTATACAGTACTCCTAGTCCTATACAGGATATTTCCTGGAGGTTGGAGTATACACTCCTTCTAGTCCTTTACATGATATATCCTAGAGTATACACTCCTCCTAGTCCTAGGATACATCCTGGAGGTTGGAGTATACACTCCTCCTAGTCCTATATAGGATACATCCTGGAGGTTGGAGTATACACTCCTCCTAGTCCTATACAGGATCGATCCTGGAGACTGGAGTATACAGTACACTGCTCCTAGTCCTATACATGATATATCCAAGAGTATACACTCCTGCTAGTCCTATACATGATATATCCAAGAGTATACACTGCTCCTAGTCCTATACATGATATATTACACTGTTCCTAGTCCTATACATGATATATCCAAGAGTATACACTCCTGCTAGTCCTATACATGATATATCCAAGAGTATACACTCCTGCTAGTCCTATACATGATATATCCAAGAGTATACACTTCTCCTAGTCCTATACTTGATATATCCAAGAGTATACACTACTCCTAATCCTATACATGATATATCCAAGAGTAAACACTCCTGCTAGTCCTATACATGAGATATCCTAGAGTATACACTACTCCTTATCCTATACAGGATAAATCACACTCCTCCTAGGAAAATGGAAAATTAGGAAAATGGCACAAAACACTTAAACAATTAGGAAAATTGCGCTTAACATGAAAACAAATAGGAAAATTGCGCCCAACAATAAAATACTTATGAAAATGGCGCCCAACAATAACATACTAGTCCTATACATGATATATCCAAGAGTATACACTCCTGCTAGTCCTATACATGATATATCCAAGAGTATGCACTCCTGCTAGTCCTATACACGATATATCCAAGAGTATACACTGCTTCTAGTCCTATACATGATATATCCAAGAGTATACACTCCTGCTAGTCCTATACATTATATATACTAGAGTATACACTCCTCCTAGTCCTATACATGATATATCCTAGAGTATACACTACTCCTAATCCTATACAGGATAAATCACACTCCTCCTAGGAAAATGGAAAATTAGGAAAATGGCACAAAACACTTAAAAAATTAGGAAAATTGCGCTTAACAATAAAATACTTATGAAAATGGCGCCCAACAATAACATAATTAGGAAAATGGCGCCCAACAAAAAAATAATTAGGAAGATGACGCCAAATGCACTAAAAAAATTAGGAAAATGACGCGAGGTACTCACCAATCATAGCAACATAACTGTATGGAGGTTTCACTTTATTTTCATTCAGTTTAGAATCCGGTAATTTGGTTTTCTTCGATTCTTCTTCTTCTTCCTGTAAACAAAATTATATTAATAGTTAGAATGTAGAGCTATAAAGTATATATACATGTTTATTTTAAAAAATAATTTGTATGAGAGCCATGAACCAAGGAGAGAGGGGTTATCCATAATTTTTTAATTGAGGTATCGGGGAAACTCTGGAACATTACAATAAGTCATTGTTAACAAAAAATAGTACAATACGTCACTGAAAAATGTAAACAACCCCTTCCATACTCATTAGATCTTTCACTCCATGGTCTCTTTATGCTATATTTCATTGTTTTAGTTTCGTCACAAAAAATCTCGAAAAATGGCCGGGTAAAATATCCTTTATTTATGCATTTTAAATTCTAGAACCAAATCTATCGACCTAGTTTTCATATTCAAAATTAAATATAAAAATATATGAATTTATAATTAAACAGCTTGCAGGGAGAGATCAATCGATTTGAAGTAATTTGCTTTTCAGATAAATTCTTTAATCATGTATTTTATATTATTGAGATAATATCAATTATAAGATATCTGGTAAATTGTGAAAATAATTAGATTTAACAGAAAATATTTTTATTCATTTAAAAGAAATATTTTACTATTTTAAATACACAATTATACACTTTGTAGTTATCATTAGGCGTTACTTTCCTTTGAACAAACTTGTCGGCACGGTTCAAATAAAATCTCTTCTCAAGAAATGAATCAAGCACGTTTTTATTAAGATCAAGAAGTGTTATTGGAAAATAAGTGAGGCACGTTTTTATTAAGATCAAGAAGTGTTATTGGAAAATAAGTGAGACACGTTTTTATTAAGATCAAGAAGTGTTATTGGAAAATAAGTGAGACACGTTTTTATTAAGATCATGAAGTGTTATTGGAAAATAAGTGAGACACGTTTTTATTAAGATCATGAAGTGTTATTGGAAAATAAGTGATACACGTTTTTATTAAGATCATGAAGTGTTATTGGAAAATAAGTGAGACACGTTTTTATTAAGATCATGAAGTGTTATGGGAAAATACGTGAGACACGTTTTTATTTAGATCAAGAAGTGTTATTGATAAATAAGTGATACACGTTTTTATTAAGATCATGAAGTGTTATTGGAAAATAAGTGAGACACGTTTTTATTAAGATCATGAATGGCTTTTGGAAAATAAGTGAGACACGTTTTTATTAAGATCATAGTTCCATGGAGTGTTAAAGGAAAGTTATTCAAGCACGTTTTGAATAAGATCATAGTTCCATGGAGTGTTAATGGAAAATTCAAGCACGTTTTGAATAAGATCATAGTTCCATGGAGTGTTAATGGAAAGTTATTCAAGCACGTTATGATTCCATGATGTGATAATGAAAAGTTAGCAAAGCACGTTTAGAAATGGACTTGAGCTCCTTGTACCCTAACGCGCATTATAAATAATGCAAGAACGCCTTGAATTATTTCACATGCATTAAATAAAATTTGAACTGTTTGAGGGAATCAGTTTTGGAAATAACAATTAGATTTTACTTCCTGAATAATCTGAAAATTATAATTTGTCCAAATCCTGTCCGCCAAATGGTTGAGTATTATAAGGTTTATTTCCTAATAATCTTACAACTGAATATTTCATTATCTAATCATTAATCATTTTAACAATAGTATTAATTAAGCAATACAGTTTTAGATAAGATATTATAAATATTGATTTATTATTTAGTATTTAATTATTTCTGTCATGAATGTTCTATTCTGATAAGGGATAGAAAGTTAGAAAAATACATTGGAAGATTTTACGATCTAGTACATACAATTACACAGAGCTTGTGTAATGCACAATAATAACATTATAATCAATGTAAAATGGTTAAAAAATATCTACAAAACAAACGCTTATTTTTTTGTATTTTTACGATAATAATTGGAAAGGATCTCAAGAAAGCGTACATTTTCAAAAGATTTTTGATTTTACGTTGTTTTAAACTTCAAAAACAGTATTTTAACAATATAATAAATAAAAGTCAATCTCTGAATTAAAACAACCTTAAAGTATCAAATTTTATCATCCAGCTAGAGATAATAAAATTTATTCTTTAATTTTCCAAATTTATGATTTTAATATCCTATAAACATGAAAAGAAGAATATAATGACTTAAGAATGCCGCGGATTTTTTAAAAGATGTTTACCTGTGTCTCAGCCTCAGGATCAAGATGTAAGGACGAATCAATTTCCTCCAACTTCACGTTACAGGTCGTCAATCTTTACAAAACATAATTGAGAGATATGTCGTCTTTATGTTTTTGTTAAATGTCAATCTTTACAAAACATAATTGAGAGATATGTCGTCGTTATGTTTTTGTTAAATGTCAATCTTTACAAAACATAATTGAGAGATATGTCGTCTTTATGTTTTTGTTAAATGTCAATCTTTACAAAACATAACTGAGAGATATGTCGTCTTTATGTTTTTGTTAAATGTCAATCTTTACAAAACATAATTGAGAGATATGGCGTCTTTATTTTTTTGTTAAATGTCAATCTTTACAAAACATAACTGAGAGATATGTCGTCTTTATTTTTTGTTAAATGTCAATCTTTACAAAACATAATTGAGAGATATGTCGTCTTTATGTTTTTGTTTAATGTCAATCTTTACAAAACATAATTGAGAGATATTTCGTCTTTATGTTTTTGTTAAATGTCAATCTTTACAAAACATAATTGAGAGATATGTCGTCTTTATGTTTTTGTTAAATGTCAATCTTTACAAAACATAATTGAGAGATATGTCGTCTTTATGTTTTTGTTAAATGTCAATCTTTACAAAACATAATTGAGAGATATGTCGTCTTTATGTTTTTGTTAAATGTCAATCTTTACAAAACATAATTGAGAGAATTCCAGGGCACTGTGGCTCGAACATTTTTGGGAAATCTTTACCAAAAACTCCATGCGTTGGTAATATGTCTAACGTTTAATTCAAAATGTATCTGATTCAACTCTGTATTTGTATAATGCACAGAGCGTCTCATATCATATTGGATTATCTCCAAGCTTTTGCACCAAAAAAAAGCGCACACAATACTCGAAAAACCTGGTATTTTCTGTATGCAAATTTTTATATTAGCTTTATACAAATATTTTAAATGATTCATTCTTTTTAAATTTTCTGATATAGTCCCGAAAATCACAATTTAAAGCTTTAAACGATTTAATATGATGTGGGACACCCTGTATATTTAAAATCATTTCAGATCCGGGTTTGAAGTGTAAACCAATGAATGTCTGGCGGATTAAATATCTGAAGATTTCTTCGCAATAATCGAAAAAAAAAATATTATAAATGTCTAGCTGTCAATTTTTGTCAACCTTTCATGACGTAAGATTTTTGGAACTGTTGGATAAAACTAATATTAAAATTGAAATTAAACTAACGTATGTAAATTTATATTTATAATAAACTTACATATGCATTATCTCAATCCTATTATATTACAATATAACATTAGTTTTATAGTTGTTTTTGTTTTTGCTGAAATAATCAGTATTCAGGACTATAAAAGATCCTGTTTATATATCCTGGTCTGACTTAAAGTGTATCCAACCTGTCATCCTGGTCTGTAGAACTAGTATCCGTCCTACCCCTGTGCTCAGGTCTACCCAGAGTCTGGGAGAAGTTTGAGGTTGGAGCAGGGTAGATTGGGAAACCAGAGCTCAGGGTTCCATAAACATTGTTCACACTCTGCTCCTCTGAAAATTAGTATTTAGATTTAAATCCTTCATAAATCTAAGACAATTTTTTAAAGAACAAATTATTGTTTTTGTTTGTTTGTATCCAAAAAACGTCAAAATTGCTTATTGATCGGGTTCAAATCTGTTATGGCAGCTCACATGACCCTATGGTCAGAATTTTAAAGATGTGCCTTAAAAACTTTTGATTTTTCAAATTCCACGAAAAAATGATAAAATCCGCAAATTTTTCTGCTAAGAAATAGTTTCTAAGATTCAATAACAGCAAACTCCCACTTATAACCATGACTGATCCATGCAGGTATTATAAAGTTAATTTCTAGAGATATAAAGATTAAAAACTGACCTTGTTGTGATCTAAGATCTTGGAGATGAAGGTGAGAGCTTTGATGAAGATGGAGCGGAGACGGGATCTTGTTTTCTAGTTTAGGGAAACCTGGCTCCGAGAAGGAATGGTAACTGGAACGGAAGGATGAACCGTAACATACCTCAGCTTCTAAATTATCCAATTATTTTATTAGTATTCAATTTTTTGGAAATGTTATCTATATTGCTAAATGTTATCTATATTGCTAAATGTTATCTATATTGATAAATATTATCTATATTGCTAAATGTTATCTATATTGATAAATATTATCTATATTGCTAAATGTTATCTATATTGCTAAATGTTATCTATATTGCTAAATGTTATCTATATTGCTAAATGTTATCTATATTGCTAAAAATTATCTATATTGCTAAATGTTATCTATATTGCTAAATGTTATCTATATTGATAAATATTATCTATATTTCTAAATGCTATCTATATTGATAAATATTATCTATATTGCTAAATGATATCTATATTGCTAAATATTATCTATATTGCTAAATATTATTTATATTGATAAATGTTATCTATATTGATAAATATTATCTATATTGCTAAATGTTATCTATATTGCTAAATGGTATCTATATTGCTAAATGTTATCTATATTTCTAAATGCTATCTATATTGCTAAATATTATCTATATTACTAAATGTTATCTATCTTGATAAATGTTATCTATATTGCTAAATGTTATCTATATTACTAAATGTTATCTATATTACTAAATGTTACCTATATTACTAAATGTTATCTATACTTGATAAATGTTATCTATATTGCTAAATGTTATCTATATTACTAAATGTTATCTATATTACTAAATGTTACCTATATTACTAAATGTTATCTATATTGATAAATGTTATCTATATTGCTAAATGTTATCTATATTGATAAATATTATCTATATTGCTAAATGTTATCTATTTTGTTTTATGTTATCCATATTGTTAATGGTATCTATATTGCTAAATGTTGTCTTTATTACTAAATATTATCTATATTGCTAAATGTTATCTATATTGATAAATGTTATCTATTTTGTTTTATGTTATCCATATTGTTAATGGTATCTATATTGCTAAATGTTGTCTTTATTACTAAATGTTATCTATATTGCTAAATGTTATCTATATTGCTAAATAGAAAATCAGATTTTGTGGCAAAGAATTAATTCCTTTGTAATTTTATTTTCTGGACAAGAACTATTTATCGTTAAATACAAATAAATATTTTAATGCAGACATGCGGGATAATTGATGCAAATGTAAATTGTATATTTATATCAAATGTATCAAATGATATAGACTGAATACAGGGCTACATACAAAAGAGGAGACTTTAAGACCAGAAATTTGAGAGTTGAATTTGGTTTTTTTTGTATTTAAACAGTCTTCTAATTGTATATTCTAAGATTTGGTAGAGAAAATTTATATTTACAGCTGCTGCTGGGAACCAGGAATGAAAGAAAAAAGACTGAACAATTTCCGTACAGTCGTCTCTGTTTAATAAATCCATGTGGATAAGACGAAGAGGTAAAGTCAAGGGGGATGATAGCTGTATTGTACACTTACAACTGTTTACTTATATTGATATACTATATGTTAGACCAGAATCTCCTTATAATAAACAAATATGCAGACGCTCTCGGTATAGTTTATGGCCTATAAAATTAGTAAAGGATTAGCGTACATCATCACTCTATACACTATAATCTCGTTGGGTTAAGCTTACCACAGATGTATACAACAGACCTCACTATTAATTAATTAATAGAGTGGTCGGTTCTGTACATCACGATATGTTTACGTAACAAGTGTACAGTTTTAGTAACATAAACATATCGCGATGTACACAACCGACCACTCTATTAATTGATTAATAGGGAGGTCTGTTGTGTACATCTGAGGTGAGCTTTACCCAAAGAGAATAGAATATATATTAGAGTGGAATTTACTAGAAACAAGTGTAAAACGGCCATTTTGTTGTACTATAAATTCCACTCTAATATATATTCTATTCTCTTTGGCTTTACCTCTTTGTTTCCTTACTCTACGAACAAATCCCAATAGTTATTTAAATTAAAGGGACTGTAGGCGTAATTTAAGTAAGATTTCATCTAACAAGAGGAGAATGTATGATTCACAGCAGTATCCTTTGAACCTTTGTCTACTAAAATTATCAAATTATTCTCGATTTTCCCTCTAAAAAATAATGTTATCTAATTGAGGTTTCCCTATAAAAGTGACTTGCAGATTTATATAGTTAATTAGACACATTACGTAATTTACAGAGTCCAATACTTAAGAAGTTGAGAAAACGACAATGTCTTCCTCAATATTGATCAAATGAAGGTTTAAAAGGAATTGGCACTGTTTAAAGAAAAAATGAATTCAAATTATAACAAGAGTCCAGACAAATATAATCATACAAATCTTTTTACAAAGCAGAAAAATGCACAGTTTTGAGATGAAACTAATACTTTTGGTTTTTAGTGGAATGTTTAACTAGTTTTCAACAAAAATTAGAAATGCTTGAACATAAATTTAAGATTTAATAGATTTTTCAATTTTTCTTTTTTTCATTTTTAAAGTTTTGTCAAAGAAAGAGGAACCTGAAATGCATTTAATCAATCGGAAATAAAAGAAGAAAATATTTGCAAATGAATTTCATTCTCATGGTTTGAATAGTGAACCTATGCAGGCTAAAGAAACCTGAGTCGAACCTGCAGAGTGCAAAAAAACTTAATTGAGAACTGATCCTGGTTTGCTGATTAGCTAAATTACTCCGACAATAGGCAAACCTCAATTCAGCAAAATCATCATCATCAGTTCATAATTATCAAACTAAACTTACAGCTAGGATATCAGTTACTCTACTTCCAGGATATCAGTTACTCTACTTCCAGGATATCAGCAATTTAACTACCAGGATATCAGTAACTCAACTTCCAGGATATCAGTTACTCTACTTCCAGGATATCAGCCACTTAACTTCCAGGATATCAGTAATTCAACTTTCAGGATATCAGTTACTTAACTTACAGCTAGGATATCAGTTACTCAACTTCCAGGATATCAGTTACTTAACTCCAGGATAACATTTGCTTAGCTTCCAGGATATCAGATACTTTGATTCTAATATATCTGTAACAATACTTCTTCCGATGTATTCGTTATAAAGGGTTTCACTGTAGGATATCAGTTATTCGACTTCCCTATAGCTCTAATGATATTTATTACTTCCTATTCATACTCACTAATAAAATTAAAGAAGTCCTCCTGACATAACCAAAGACGACCTTTTGAGCATTAGGTGTGGGAGATTTTATATTAGGTTTTATTTAAGGATCCTGATTCTTCTCTCTCTCGCTTAAAACTATCTTTCTGCCGTTTGACCTTCAATATTTACTTTGCTACTTCATCTGTTGAATTGTTCACAAACAATATTTATAAACAAAACTGCTTTCACTTTCATTTGCTGTTATTGAGGGTAGAAAAACGGTCTCACTTAATATATTGTTTACACGATTTGAACAGTTTAAACAATTCGATTAAACTAACGTATGTAAATTTATATTTATAATAAACTTACATATGCATTATCTCAATCCTATTATATTACAATATAACATTAGTTTTATAGTTGTTTTTGTTTTTGCTGAAATAATCAGTATTCAGGACTATAAAAGATCCTGTTTATATATCCTGGTCTGACTTAAAGTGTATCCAACCTGTCATCCTGGTCTGTAGAACTAGTATCCGTCCTACCCCTGTGCTCAGGTCTACCCAGAGTCTGGGAGAAGTTTGAGGTTGGAGCAGGGTAGATTGGGAAACCAGAGCTCAGGGTTCCATAAACATTGTTCACACTCTGCTCCTCTGAAAATTAGTATTTAGATTTAAATCCTTCATAAATCTAAGACAATTTTTTAAAGAACAAATTATTGTTTTTGTTTGTTTGTATCCAAAAAACGTCAAAATTGCTTATTGATCGGGTTCAAATCTGTTATGGCAGCTCACATGACCCTATGGTCAGAATTTTAAAGATGTGCCTTAAAAACTTTTGATTTTTCAAATTCCACGAAAAAATGATAAANCCTTGAGACTGGAGAAGACTGTAGGATGAGATATCTCTGATCTTGTATACCTTGAGGCTGGAGAAGACTGTAGGATGAGATATCTCCGATCTAGTTTACCTTGAGACTGGAGAAGACTGTAGGATGAGATATCTCTGATCTTGTATACCTTGAGACTGGAGAAGACTGTAGGATGAGATATCTCCGATCTAGTTTACCTTGAGACTGGAGAAGACTGTAGGATGAGAAATCTCCGATCTTGTATACCTTGAGACTGGAGAAGACTGTAGGATGAGATATCTCCGATCTTGTGTCCAGATTTCATACATTCCTCTCCAATTTGACCCTGCAACATTATATCCCCTCTCAACAACTTTAAAATAACCTTTATATATCTAAATTACATGTGTCCCCCTTTATATATCTAAATTACATGTGTCCCCCTTTATATATCTAAATTACATGTGTCCCCCTTTATATATCTAAATTACATGTGTCCCCCTATATATATCTAAATTACATGTGTCCCCCTTTATATATCTAATTTAAATGTGTCCCCTTTATATATCTAAATTTCATGTGTCCCCCTTTATATATCTGAATTACATGTGTCCCCCTTTATATATTTAAATTACATGTGTCCCCCTTTATATATCTAAATTACATGTGTCCCCATTTATATATCTAAATTAAATGTGTCCCCCTTTATATATCTAAATTACATGTGTCCTCCTTTATATATCTAAATTACATGTGTCCTCCTTTATATATCTAAATTACATGTGTCCTCCTGGCTAAAATAAAATCTAGAAACGTTTCTTAAAATTATTTAACCCCTATTTCTTTGTTTATGGGCCATCCTTGGATCGTAAACTACAGAAATATTGTTCAATATATTCTAAAAAATTAGACAAAAAGATTGAAGCGACTGTAATACAATGAAGTATTAAAGACAGCAGTTAAAATGAAAATAATGTGCTTTGAATAGACATTAAAGGGAGCGCAACCGTATTTTCAAGAAGTGACCTTCCATTGCAAAGATGTCAATGCTCGATTCACTCACGTTCTTTCTGCTTTTTTATTAAATATCTTCCCAGTTCTTTTAATGTTTGAACTCTCTTTTACCAGGGAATTGAGTCTTTGCTGCAAACTTAATTTTTTAATCCCTATATCTTTCCAACCTGGTGGTGTAAACCTTTGATATTTAATCTAACAGAATTCATAGTTTGAAATATTGGGTTGCAAAGATTCAGAGATTATAAAGTCAGAATTTGGGGCAAAGACTGAATTCCTTTGGTAAAAATATATTTTATTAAATTACCGCTATAGAGTGTGTGGAGAAATTTGAACCAAAAGGGGCCATCATTGTCTCAGATTTTTCAGGTTCAGGATTCTAGTTTATCCAGTAAAATCATCCTACTGGAGAACAAGTTTGTACTAACTTATCCTACTGGAGAACAAGTTTGTTTGTTTGTACTGTTGAAATTGGTCCTAACCTATCCCCCTGCTACGGCAATTCCTCTCCTAATACTGCTGCAATAGGTCCTTACCTATCCTACTTCTACTTCAAATGGTCCTAACTGATCCTATTATTACTATAACGGTTCCTCACCAATCCTACCAGTAATACTGAAATTGGTTTTAACCTATTCTACTAATAATGCAATTCTACCAATAAACCTATTCTACCAGTAAACTTATTCTACCGGTAAACCTATTCTACCAGTAAACCTATTCTACCATTAAACCTATTCTACCAGTAAACCTATTCCACCAGTAAACATATTCAACTCGTATACCTATTCTTCCAGTAAACCTATTCTACCAGTAAACATATTCTACAAGTTGACATATTCAACTCGTAAACCTATTCTTTTAGTAAACCTATTCTTCTAGTAAACCTATTCTACCAGTAACCCTATTCTACAAGTTGACATATTCAACTCGTAAACATTCTTTTAGTAAACCTATTCTACCTATTCTACCAGTAAACCTATTCTACCAGTAAACCTATTCTTCCAGTAAACCTATCCTACCAGTAAACCTATTCTACCAGTAAACCTATTCTACCAGTAAACCTATTCTACCAGTTAACCTATTCAACCAGTTAACCTATTCAACCAGTAAACCTATTCTACCACTAAACCTCTAATTATTTGATCAAACCAGCCCATTAGTTAATGTGGCATCTAGTCTCAAATTACGGTTATTCAAATTTTGCGGGAAAAAAAATTTGCAAATTAATTGCGCATTTTTAATTTGCGTACTAAAGAAGGATTATAATACATTGTCAGATTTGGCGGTGAATTGTAAAAAATTAACTATAAAACCAAAATTTAGTTTGAGATATCCCAACGTTTTTTCATTCAAATGTTTTATATGTTTGTCGAACAGTCCGACAGGAAATTAAGTTGCTATTTGTGAATTATTTAATACTTATTTTCATGGATTGAATATTCCCGAAATCCAAGTATTTACAAAATATCTGCCTGTTTAGTGTTTACTTCCTTTAAAATTGACTGAGATATGATAATTTTGTCCAGGTTCAAAGGAACTGTAGACGTTATTTCAAGTGACCCTCCATTTAAAATGTATGTCTGATACAAAACGGTTCCATTTAATCCACTATCTGAGTAACAATAAGAAAGATATAGGCGTTTATCAGGTAGAAAAGTGTTTAATTCTGATAATATACTTTGTAGTCTCTGCAGCAAAAATTCGCAAGTCACATTATAGAGAACCAAAATTGAAAATAATAAATGTTTACCAAAAAATAAACAAAATAACTTATTCCTCCTTGATCAGACAAATGTTTATAAGGTACCGTTGTGAATAGAACGTGCCGCTCGAAAGATGAACGGTCACTTGAAATTGTGTTGTCCATCCCTTTAAACTTTAAATATTTCCATTTTATTCATCGAAACCTGAAGACGGTCAACACTTTTTTTTGCAGAGTTTTAAAGTGTTATCATCTGTTTTTCAAGTTCAAAGACTATTCCCATGTATTAATTTATTTTCCATGCTTAATTGACCACCCTGTACGAGTTTAGTTAGTTAGCCTATCCTATAAACAAACTAACTCATGTATTTCTAAGTTATCTTAAGAGTAGAAACTATCCTAACAAGACATATCCTAACTAGATAATATTCTAACACATGACCTATCCTATTGTAAACCATAGTCTAACATCTAATTTACTCTATTTATTGTTAAGCCAATTGCAACTTTTTTATTGCTAACATATCCTAGTAGTAAACCTTTCCTAAAAACAATCTAATCCTAACAGAGAACTAATCTTTTAAGTAAACTTTCTTTTGATAAACCACATATTATATCCGCAAAAGTATATCTTGAACTGGATCAAACTTCCCTAGTTTTGTCAGATTCATTATTTTAACTGAGTATCACATGTAACTTTCTATCCGTCTTTGATTTTTTCTCACTAAACGCTGACAAGACTTTTTTACTTTTTTTTGAAGGATTCCAGCGTGTATTTGGACAGTTATACAATCAAACCAGAGAAGGTTCGGACTCAAGACGGAAACTAACGGAGATCTTTGAACATTGATATTTCCTGGAGCTCCGGGAACCGCGCTTCGTTCTCCGATTCTTCTTCTCGGGTTTTCTGTCTCTCGGAGTAGAGTGCCGGAGGTTCAGGTCGGAGCTAGATTTGATTGGTTTGTCTCCGTCACCTATCGGACGGAAGGGACTACTATTGGAGGAAACTGGGCGCGTGCGGTTCTGATTGATATGATTGGTCGGGATTCTTCAGGTAAGTAGAGTACCAGTGGTATTCTTTACCGGGACAGAGAGCGTCTAATTAATGTATTTTTATTTAACACCTTCAAATTGGCTTGAAATAAAATGCTTAAATGATTTTTCTTTAAAATTTGTTCCACTTTATGGTATTTAAATACATGCTATCACCTTTAAATCTTAAGAATATGTAGATATTTAGCTGTCTTTGGTTTGAAATAAATTTAAATGAAAAATCTGCCTTAGATCTACCTACAACCCTAGATCAGGGTCTATACCAAGTTACCAACCCTAGATCTAGACCTACAACCTATGATCTAGACCTGCAACCCTAGATCTAGACCTATAACCCCCTAGATTTACCTGCAACCCTAGAGCTAGACCTACAACCCTAGATCTAGACCTAAAACCCTAGATCTACCTACAATCCATGATCTAGACCTGCAACCCTAGTTCTAGACCTACAACCCTAGATCTAGGCCTACAACCCTTTATCTAAACGTGCAACCCTATATCTAGATCTACAACCCTAGATCTAGACCCATAATCCTTGATCTAGACCTACAAACCTAGATATAGACCTTTAACCTACAAGATCTAGACCCACAACTCTTGATCTAGACCTACAACTCTAGATCTAGAACTGCAATCCTTGAGCTAGACCTTCAATCCTAGACCTAGACCCACAACCCTTGATCTAAACGTGCAACCCTATATCTAGATCTACAACCATAGATCTAGACCCACAACCCTAGATCTAGACCTACAATCTAGATCTAGACCTACAACCCTAAATATAGACCTACAACCCTAAATATAGACCTACAACCCTATATATAGACCTACAACACCCTAGATCTAGACCTACAACACACTAGATCTAGATCTACAACCCTAGATCTAGACCTACAAATCTAGATCTAGACCTGTAACCCTTGATCTAGACCTACAAGATCTAGACCCACAACTCTTGATCTAGACCTTCAACCCTAGATCTAGACCCACAACCCTTGATCTAGACCTACAATCCTTGATAGAGACCTTCAATCCTAGATCTAGGCCTACAACCCTAGATCTAGATCTACAATCCTAGATCTAGACCTGCCACCGTAGATCTAGACCTACAACCGTACATCTAGATCTACTGCTTTTGATGGGGACCTTTATGCGTTGTTCTGGACCAATAACCCTTGATTTAAACCTTCAACCCTAGATCTAGTCTTACAACCCTTGATCTGGACCTATAACCGTTGATTTCAACCTGAAATCTTAGATCTAAACCTACTACCCTTGATCTAGACCTACAAGATCTAGATCTGCAAGACAAGATCTAGATCCAAACCCCTAGATCTAGACCCACAACCCTTGAATTAGACCCACAACCCTTGATCTTGACCCACAACCCTTGATCTAAACCAACAGCCTAGATCTAGGCTTTATTCTTATTTTTATATCATTAAAGGTTTTGCTAAATTCGACTTTTAAAGTTTTATTCGGGGCCGCAAAAATTATATGTGGATTGTTTGCGTAAATTGGAAATAAAAAATTGTTAATCTAAAACGATTTCCAGAATTAATTCAGAAATGAAGAAATCTAGAACAACGACAAGTTTCAAATCATTTAAAACATGGAAGACTAACGGCGATAAATATAAATGTCGTCGTAGTTGCAAAAACTCTAAATCTATAAACTCAATTACAACTTATACACTACAAGCCCACGGTTAAGACTGTGTGTAAAAATTACTGTGATTCGTAATGTTACGATTAATGGTCATTGCTATGACATTTTGATATAATTAAATGTTCTCTAAGCTTTCAAAGGCATAATGGCTTTGTAAATAATAAATAACTTAATTAACAAATTTTGCTATGATGATAGATCTTAAAGTGAAGTATATAGTATACAGGTCGAAAGTCGTCTTTGTTTATTTGTTGAAAAAGGAAAATTTAGGGATTGATAAAGTATAACAAACTTGGCTTATATGTCTCTGAAAAGATTTGATAAAGACGACTTTCGTTCCATTGTATACAGGATACAATAATTTTGCTTTGAAAAAAACGCGTTAGTTAAGATTTAAATACTTCCATGGAGCACCTTTTTTGCTCTCTTAATGAAACCCTGCCTGCCACGTTCCGGGGTAACATTATTGCCCGCAATTGTTTTCCAGAGGTTCTTTTAGTAGGCGAAAACAGACTCTATTAAACAATCCACCAAATTTGAGTTTTATTGTTCCATTTTTTAGTTTCAGTTAAATGGACTGTATGCCTAATTTGAAGTGCCTGATTTACAATTGTACCCAATGTCCGTCGAGTACAGTGATGCACTGTGTTCATTGTGTACTTAGGGCAGAATTGAAATTATAGCTGAATAAAAGCGAGGTTCATTATTTGATAAGTTTACACACACATATCTCTGTTCACACAAATGTTTCAAGGGTACCGTTGTAAATCGGGCATTACCCTGTGTGCATGGAGGATCACTTAAAATTACGCTTACAGTCTCTTTAAGCAATTGCACTTTTAAACATTTTGTATTTTAAGACGAATTCTTATGGCCATTAATAGGAAATTTGAACAAGACTACCATTTATAAAAAAGTTATGTTAATATTTATCTGTACTAAAATATCTGTACATGGTTATCAACAAAGAATAGACACGAAAGTACAGAATTAATTTTGTCTTTATTGACGTTCCTTAAATGGAGTGTTCGCGAAAACGAAAACTCCCTTTAAACGCTATAAATGTACACTTTGTTTTGATTATTTGCTAAATAATACTGTATAAACATAAATAATACGTTTACAAGTGTCGAAAAATATTAACCTTACCCTTTTATCAATTCCTGTATACGCCCATATCTAGAAAAATTGGTAAGATTAGTATTCCCTGCAATAAAAACTACTAAAAAACTACTGTATCTACAGAACGTACCCCTGGGGAAATAAGTAATCATAAAAAAGTTTAGTTGTTAAAATAATCAATTGGGAATTGGTCAGTTATCCTTGGGCAATTGCCATCGGGAACATTCCTTTTACTTAGTTTCTCATCCATCCTCTTTCAATCTCCGTTTCTAAAAATCCATCCTATCTGAGGACTCCGATTTAAAGAATGACCTTCCTAGTGGCGGATAAACTATTGTTTTTAACCAGGTTTCCTTGTGTGGTCTGTGAGGCCCAACTATAGGATTTTGCCTCAAGAAATTCATTGGTTTTCATTTAAAATCTCACGATGAATATTCTTAGTAGAATTATATATTAGAGTACAGTGAAACCTATAAAACTGCTGGATATGAAGACGACATTGAGATAATCCTATGCATTTAAAGTACATAGTTTTTCAGTGGATTAAAAAATAATATATTCACTGAACAGTGTATACAATGCCTAATTGCTTTATTTAAAAGTTCATTGGACTATTCAAAATCATAACTTGAGTCTACAAGTCGTCTTCATATTTCACTGTTGCTTGTGAATCATTGCACAAATCCTATGTTTTAGAACGCTGATACAACAGTAAGGAATACTCTGACATAAGATCTTCTTTTTATTTTAACTTTTAAACACAAATATTAAAAAATGCTTTCTGAATTTTAGTTGTTTTGAAGTTTATTAAATACAATTCAAATATATATATGTAGATATATTATATATGCATAGAAGCTCTTAGAATATTTTACCACGATTACACTTACCGGAGGAATCATTAAACATGCCTAGAATGTGGATCTTCAAAAGTGCACAAAAGAAGAAAATATTAATTTATCTTTAAGGGTGTGTGTATGTTCCAAAAAAATTTGAGATTATTTTAAAAGACAATGAAATGAAACAATAATAAACAAAATTTTATTTGTTTTGTACTTTAGTAACAATTATAAATACATAAATACAATAAATACATTTAAATTCAAGAGAGAAAACATATAATACAGAGTCCCGCTAAAATAATACTTTGAACATTCTGTAAAGTTGCAGTGCACATTACAGCCCGAAAAAAAAGAAAAAAATGTACAGAGAGCATTGTACAGCTCGGTTATAAACAGTTATATCATATATTTTATGAGGTGGGGAAGGGGGGGAGGTCACCCTGGATTTGGTTGGTTTTTGAACTAGAATATCTTGTGATCGGCACAGCAAAAAATAAAGTGATTCGGTTCCGTTGTTAGTTAAGAGGAGCTAATATACAACAATAGTTCAGACAAACACAGGGTGGGGGGGATGTATGGTTGTTTGAGCAGGTTTACAGGTTTAAAAGGGTTCACGCTTAAAGGTTTACTAGTTTACAGGACTTGGATCTATGAATTTACATATATTGGCGGCGCAGATTTAAAAGGTTACAAGGAGTAAAGGTTTACAGGTTTACATGTTTACAGGTTTACATGTTTACAGGTTTACAGGTTTACAAGGTTTACAGGATGAGATTTAAGAAAAGAAAAGTTTATCACAGCAGCAAAATTTTATTCCTCCAGGACCTCCAGCTCCTCACAAGACTGACTTTTGAACTTTCTAAAAATATTAAATTGAGAATAGGTTTGTTTAGTAAGGTTAGAATAGATTTGGAGTAGGGTTAGAATAGATTTGGAGTAGGGTTAAAATAGATTTGGAGTAGGGTTAGAATAGATTTGGAGTAGGGTTAGAATAGATTTGGAATAGGGTTAGAATAGATTTGGAATAGGATTAGAATAGATTTGGAGTAGGGTTAGAATAGATTTGGAGTAGGGTTAGAATAGGTTTGGAGTAGGGTTAGAATAGATTTGGAGTAGGGTTAGAATAGATTTGGAGTAGGGTTAGAATAGATTTGGAGTAGAGTTAGAATAGATTTGGAGTAGGGTTAGAATAGATTTAGCGACGGTTTAGAAATTATTTAAAGAAGGGTTAGAATAAGTTTCGGAATATATTGAAAGGTTTTGTCGTAGGATTTGAATATGTTTTGAGTAAGTTTATTAAAGGTTTGGAGTATGTTTAAAATAGGATTGGACTATGTGTAGAGTAGGTTTGGAGTAGGTTTAGAATAGGCTTTGGTTAGGATCAGAACAGGTTTGGAGTAGGTTTAGAATAGAATTGGAGTAGGTTTAGAATAGAATTGGAGTAGGGTTAGAATATGTCTGGAGATATTGTTTAACAAGCGCACATATAACGTTTTCTGTCAATCTATTAATCTCTCGTGTTCAAGTTTATCTATTAATCTTTAGTCGGAACTTGGAACCAGAACCCATCCAGGTTCGGAGTCAAGAACTTGGATCCAAACCTTATCTAAGGTTGGAGTCAGGAATGGGGTGAGTAGGGATTAAAACAAATTGTAAGGTGAGTAAGGGGGGGGGGAGAATCATCAATTGAATAATTATAAGCTAGAATCATCGGTATAAATCAGATTTCACGGTTTTTGGAAGTTTAAAATTTACTTTTTGACAAAAACATTGATAATTAAAAGACAAAACCGTCCAAAGAATTCCTGTAAACATTATCTAATTAAGATCTTGATTAAGGTTCACTAACTTTAAATTGTTCAACTAACAAAGAAGTTATTTTCATGGTTTAAGCTCTGTACTAAACTTTAATCAGGGAAGGCAAAGAGTAGAACAAGTACACGGCTGGATATTACGAAAAGACGTTATAAATTGACGATTTAAAAACACGAAATGAATAAGAACGAGTATCTTTAGCTTCTAAAGAGCTTTAAGAATGTATAGAATGAATAAGAATCAATATTGAAATATTAAACACGAAAGGAGTTGAGTCTTTGCCACAAACTCAAATTTACCATCTCTAAATCTTTACAATCTGATGGTGTAAACCCTTGATATTTCTAACTTGAATTATTTGATCTAACATAATTCTTAGTTTTAAATATCTACAACATTGGTTGCAAAGATATAGGAAATCAGAAAATCAGAGTTTGTGTCAAGGACTCAATTCCTTTAACAAAAAAAATGGTTACTAAAATTTTAGGATTTGTTTTTACCTCTTTCCCAAAGGAAGCTGTTGTCTTCTAGCAATGTGAAGAGAAACTGAACCTTGCCTGATATTCTTAAACACGGATATTGCCTCACCTAAACATTAATCATGGAGTCACAGATAATCATTCTTGGAATCACAGATAATTATTTTTGGAATCACAGATAATTATTTTTGGAATCCCAGATTTGCTGAAAAAAAGTCTGTTCTGGAACTTAATTGTACATGATAACTGTGACGAAATGTAAAATCTCTCAAATCGCTTCAAAAGATTGAAGACAAAAATCGTTATCTTTGCAAAAATTACTGCCATCGTTTGTCGAATTTAAAAATCTGTGCTCTTAACATTCTAAAGTCTTTCAATTAAATTTTTTTATGTCAGACTCCTTTTTAGTTAAACTAAAGTCAATCTTATTTCTTTTCATGAACGATAAAACAATTTTGTGCCGAATATTAAAGTGAATAGGGCTACTTTATACGGTTTAAAATTAGTGTGATAACTCGATTCTTTTATAATTACAAGAACTAACTGTTGCCGAGATTTGTTAACGATTAGATCGCTGAGTAGAACGATATATTGTTGATTCTGAACATGTCATATCCAAGAAAAAATTGAGATTAATATTCCTGAAATATCCCGGAGAAGGATAAAATGTTGAATCTTGTTTGAACCCCGGAGCAAATCAAATCTAACCATCCTCAATTAATGATCTTACTCCGGATGCATATTTACATATATGCAGGGCATATGCAAACCATTACTAGCATACATGCACGGGACCAAACCCTTGTCAACAATTGGAATTTCTGATTTTAAGTGATTATCGAAAATTGATTGCTTACAAAGAGCAGATAGATTCACAGATTAGACGTGATCCAAAAGCTGATAATCCAATTTTATATTAATCTCTATTTTTTTGGACAAAACAGGATGCAACGTTTGTAAAAAGGAGGAAAGCATATATCAAAAAAGATTTAAGATCGGCAAGTGTATATCTGAGATAAATGAAATCTGCGATCAATAAGATCTGAGATCGTATTAGATCTGAGATCAGTAAGATCTGAGATCAATAAGATCTAAGATCAAAAAGATCTGAGATCCATAAAATCTAAAAACAAAAGGTCTGAAATCAATAAGAATTGAGCTCAATAAGATCTGAGATCAATAAGATCTGAGATCAATAAGATCTGATATCAATAAGATCCGAAATCTGTAAGATCTAAGATCAATAAGATCTAAGATCAATAAGAACTAAGATCAAAAAGATATGAGATCAAGAAGATCAATACCAAGATGGATGAATTGATTTAGAAGATTATTTCTTGTATTGAAAAGAACAAAAAGTAATATATCCAGTCAACTTATTTAATCCTCGTGCAACCTTTGATTAAAGTTCGTCACCTCGTGACAATATACTTAGGACGAACCTACTTCTCAGGGTCCAATACATCATACGGAGATACAGACAAACTTTCCCCACAGAGATGGATCTTTGTTCCAACTAGTTGTTTTCAGTTTTCAAGATTTTTACATGATTATTTGGATCTAGAACTCCACAGAAGGAAAGGATCGGTTTAGTTTTTAAAAAACTTGATCGGATAATAATATTATAATATATATATATAATAAAATTGTACTACTTAGCAAACAGTTGTACTGAGTATTCTTTCTTTTCACAACTTTACGAACCAACCCACCCCAATCTCATTCATTTGAATTAACCTTATCCCCCTCCTCTTTTTCTCATTTGAGGAATCCCCAAACTCTCCCCTATCTAATATCAGCAAAACTTATCCTATATGGCACCTCTCTATCCACCCTAAACTCCTCCCGTAGTCCAGTATTGAAGAATGTATGAACCCAAAAATCAGTAAAATATCCGGCGCAGGAAATGTCAAGTTGGAAATTATGAAATTTTCTCCCGAAAAAATTGGATAATTCAGGGTTTTACATTATCCACCACTATCAAAGAGAATAGAATATATCTTAGAGGAGAATTTACTAGAAAAAAGTGTAAAACGGCCATTTTGTTGTACTGTTTCCATACTGCAGGTGTACTTCACATATTTATGCCATATAACCTTTTGGGCCCTGGAATATAATTTTATAGAAAATCTAAAATTAATGTTAAAAGAAAACCAAATTATGAAATAGGCTGGTTTCATAATTGACCAATGATCATTTCACATAAACTCTATGCCATTCACTTTACAAACATACTGTATTAATGTACTCTGCTGCACATAATTTGTGAACATTTACATGATTTGTAAACTTTGAACCACCCTTTTAGGCTGAAAGGGACTGAAAAAATTCATACCGAGAGATTCTTTAAATTCCCCTCTAATATATATTCTATTCTCTATGACCACTATACATTAACTTACCATGAGACTTTCCCTGGAGAATATGTCCGTTCACGGATAAGATTTCATCGCCTGAAAATAAAAAATATGTGTGAGTAGATTTTTAAAAATAAACTCAAAATAAATTTTTTTATTTTTTGTTTTTAATTAGGAAATGCTCAATACCTTGAGATTAAATGGGTTAAAAATTAAGAATTTAAATAAGTAAAGAAGTTTTATGAGGAAAAATATTTGTTAAGAAAATATTGAAAATGCATTTATTTCAAGTTTTTGGCCCACAAAACTATTTTTCCTCCCACTTCGCTTGGGGAATAAACTAGTTGTGCAATATGTCGTATTTGTGTGGAAAATGAAATGCTCTAAAACTGTATCATGAGTTCGGTTTATGAACCCATAAAGGAGGTTTAGACCATTCAGCCCAATCAGAAAGGTCATGTAACTTTCATTCCAAACATTTTGATTTTATGAAGTTGAAAATGAACTTTCTAATTCTAGGTTAGGAAGAGGTTTGTTAAGGATAGAGAATGAAGGTGTAAGAAGATAGATAGATTGTGTGAAGAATTGTGCTAGGATTAATGAATCCTGATCTAGCAGCAGTTTGTCTCCATCCTCGTCTCAGAGTCTTTAAGTCCTCAGGATTAAACCTTCTCTCAGATCCGGTCTCTCCGCTGCCTGACCCTCCGGGAATATCGTCTTTACAAATATTCCCATACTTCCCCGGGGGGAATCTATTCCCCCCACAACACTGAACCCAAGTCCCTTTTTCCCAGGTCCCTTCTCGAACTCCACAGTGTGAACACTGACTCCGGAGAACTGATGTCTCTGCGGAATTCTGCTGTTTTTCATCCCAGGTTTCGGTTTCGGTTTAACAATGTTACTCCGAGGTGGTTCCGCTACAGCACTCTTCTCCTCCAGGTACTCCTCGTCCCCTATTGTAATCACGGTCTTTGTTAGATCTCCTTTCGCCAGAATGGTTCGTTCTGTCACAACATTGTTATAAATCGGAGCGGATTGTGGGCGTTCAATACTGGGTAACTTTCGTCTCTTTCTCCTCTCTCCAGCACCATTGGTGACGGGTGGAGGGGGTACAACAGGGTTGGATTGCTGGTCCCTCGCTATTATGATATCTATTTCCGGTCCACAGGTCCCAAGGATGTTTCTGGCTTGCTCCATACTGATCCCGCGCAGACTGGACCCGTTCACGTTGATTATTTCATCGCCAATAAGGAAGCGACCGTCCCTGCAAAACATAAATTCTTGAGATCCACCCAACTATACAGATGGTAAATTTCGTGACACGTTTCGAAACCTTTTAACCCCAGGATGCTTAAAAACTGGTAATACACGCCATGATACCAGCCTGCAAAGATCTAATTGTTCATAAGCTAAAATATTGATGCAGAGAGGAAGGATGTAAATTATAATAAAATTTGGATCAAACGTTTAAGACAAATGAGCTACACACAAACCCCTTGGGTATACAGAGAACTAATATAAGAATTCTATTCACCTATCAATCAGGCCCTGGGGCTCTATATGAGCGATGGAGTATCCAGTCATACCATTGGATACGTTTTTCTTGCTACTGATGATAATACCGAGTTCATTAGACGAGTCCTTAACTAGTCGCATCATCTGAAACAGAATAAAATTAATTGAAAGCTCCGTAAAGGATTCAATAGTTGAACATACCTTAAAATTTTTGCTACTCAGCGACGGAGGACTGACTTTAGGAACGGAGGAGGAACGGGGTTTGTCTCCGGTCATTGGAACGACCGGCTGACTTTTGGTTCTCGTCACTGACTTAGAGAGATATTCTGGCTCCGGTAGTTTACTTTTCCTCGGAGGTTTCTGTGGGGTTACTGGTCTAACCTCTGCTCTCCGTGGAACCTGGTAGTGGGGCTCCTCAAACGATTCTTCGTCGGAGTCTTTTCTATCGGAGGTGAAGCTTCCACTGGTTTCTCCACTGGAATCGGAGTCGCTTTTGTCACTTCCTTTAGGTGACACAGTCTCCGCACTCTTCCTAGTGTCGGAGTCATATCCACTCTCGTCCGCACGTGAGTTACGAGGTTTCTCCAGAATAGGGGGACAACTCTGCTGTAGGTCGGCTAGAGATCGACTCTTCTTTCGTCTTAGAGCAAGCATCTTCAACCTTTGACTGGGAGCCAGGCTGGACTGTTTCTGTCCAATCTCTGACTGAGTTCCGACCATTGAGAATTCGTCCTCTGTACAATACTGGTAGTTGGACTTCATAGATTCCCGTCTAGAGATGGAGTTCTGGAGTTCCTCAGGGAGCGTGGTTAGCTTGCTCCGGATATAAGAGTAGGGGAAGTGAGCTTTCTTGTTACTAGCTGAGCTAACTATTGTACTAGTATCATCTACTGCTCCAGACATCATATCGGAGCAGATTGAGGCTGAACCTCGCCGGAGAAAATGCCAGCGATCTTGGCTGTCGAGGCAGGAAATCTGTGAGACGGAGTCGAACTCTCCGATCTCCGAGGTTAGATCATAACAGCTGGCACGAGGGGTCATTATATCATCCTCTGAGGACAATCCTGAGTCTGGTCCTACACCCTTATCCACAGTACAGCGCTTGAAATCCGTCTCAGCAGATTTAGATCTTCGTTTCTTGTCCTCGAATCCTCCAGCGGTCCTGCTGAAGATTATTCTCTTTAAGGACTCAACCCTGCTCACCTTACGACGAATTCTCGGCATCTCTCTGAAATATTTGCAGGATATTATGAAAACTAATTATAATTATCTAAGTATCTACTGGAACCCAATCTATATAACTCCTACCAGAATATTCAGGTTTGTTTATGCAGTAACTACTAATTAAACTGCATACCGTTGTGATTTCCAGTTATCAAGATATCGTGTTATCAAAATATCGAGTTATCAAGATATCGAGTTATCAAGATATCGAGTTATCAAGATATC